ATGGATGGGGCTGTGCTGTGGCCAGATACAGCCCTGAATCTGCAGCAGCTGCTTATGCATGGTGAGGAGCTGATGAGCCTCAGGACCTGACTTGAGTCCATGAGGAGACCAGGTGCAAGTAGGTTATTAACTTGAGCTCTGCTCTGCTCAACCTAGAAATGGAGCAACTCAAATATCATATGCCAAAAATCAGAATTGCAGCAGTTGATATTATTTCAGATGGGGACTTCTGACATTCCTGTTTGAAGATACGTGATATATGTCTGAAGACCTGGTTCGGATGTAGTGACCTTTTCTGGGGGTAGTTTTGCACCAGTAGTTATGTTCTTAACAGTATCAGCCTTCTCTCTGATTATTGATGTATTTTATGCATTACAGTACTTACGTCTGTCAAAAATACTAAAATTCCATATAGTCTTGAACATGGAACTAAAGATAAAATTAAATTATTAAATACATGAAAATGGAATATTTTGTTCCTTCCATGGAATATATCAGACTTGTAGTATATCAGTGTGTTAAATATCATGTGTGATCCATGGGACAGTTTTAAGTGATGATGACTATTCCTGTTCCCTCTGGCATCCTCAGTCATCATGAACTGCTAGACCCAAGGTAGTGGCATTCATTTTCAAAACCAACCTTCTAGTTCCTGTATGTCCAGTAGCTGCCAAAAAAATGCCTCTTAACCTAGCAGCCTCTGCCTGTAGTCAGTATCACCCTTTTTGGGCAGAAGAGATGATAGTGGCATCCACTGATACCACGTTACACAGGCAAATGGCATGGCAATACTTTTTTGAGACTGGCCAAGCAAGGAAGCTGTTATTAGATTTCTTCTGGAAAACTGTGGCATTTACACGCTCTGGATAAATTTATAGGTTACAAGCTTTTGCTTCCCTGCAAAACCTTTGACTCCAAAGAGGCACGCAGGCCTTGCACAATCTGTGTCCCACATTCTGAAAGGAACTTCCTAATTGATTAATGTCAGTAAATTTTGGTGGGTCTATGTTCATGGTTTCTGATAGATATATCAGAACATATATTTTATATGCTTTGTCTTGAGTTAAGCAATGGCCTTAGCAATAATTATAGTAGATTTGAACATACTTTTTAAGGTACAGCACATGTAAAATAACATACGCCCCTGACTCTTGATAAGATGGTCTGAGAATCTGAGTTCTCAGATTGGCTTGTTCTCTTGTTGGCTTGAAGCAAATGAACTGAATTAGTTATAGAGCACTTTGTTCCCGATGTTGGAAAACGTTCAACATTTCCATTCAATATCTAATAATATTTTTGAGGTCGCATTAAGGCAGCCCTCTGCTCAGAGATTTTAGGAAGTATAATAAAGCAAGAACATTGTGCCTTTGCCGTGCTGACTATGCTTCTTGTCCTTGGTTATTCTCATGTTTGAGTAGCCAAATAAAAACCTGTAATCTTTTGCAGTTCACAGAATCAGTTAGGTTGGAAGGGACCACAGTGGGTCATCTGGTCCAACCTCCCTGCTGAAGCAGGGCCTGCCTAGAGCACATGGCTCAGGATTGCATCCAGTTCCTTCATGAATATCTCCAATGAGGGAGAATACCTGACATCTCTGGGCAATCTGTTCCAGTGCACAGTGGCTCACACAGTAAAGAAATTCTTCCTTGTATTCAGGTGGAACTTGCTGTCCATCAGTTTGTGCCCACTGCCTCTTGTTTTATTGGTTTCCACCACTGAAAAGAACCTGGCTCCATCCTCTTGGCACCCACCATTCATATACTTGTATACATTAATGAGGTCCCCTCTCCGTCATCTCTTCTCCAGACTGAGCAGGCCCTGCTCCAGGAGCTCCATGTCCCTCTTGCACTGAAGAGCCCAGAACTAGACACAAGAACTAGACACTCCAGATGTGGCCTCATGAGGGCTCAGAGAGGCTGGATCACCTCCCTTGACTTGCTGGCAACACTTTTCTTAATGCATCCCAGGATTCCATTGTCTTTCTTAGCCTCAAGGACACGCAGCTTGACTCATAGATAGCTTGGTGTCCACCCCCAGGTCCTTCTCCACAGAACTGCTCAGAGAGGCTGGATCACCTCCCTTGACTTGCTGGCAACACTTTTCTTAATGCATCCCAGGATTCCATTGTCTTTCTTAGCCTCAAGGACACGCAGCTTGACTCATAGATAGCTTGGTGTCCACCCCCAGGTCCTTCTCCACAGAACTGCTCTCCAGCAGGTCAGTGCCCAGCCTGTACTGCTGCTCGGGATTATTCCTTCCCAGGTGCAGGACCCTGCACTTGCCCTTGTTGAACTTCAATTGGTTGTTCTCTGCCCATCTCTCTAACCTGTCAAGGTCCCTCTGAAGGGCAGCACAGCCCTCTGAGGTATCAACAACACCGCCCCATTCTGTATCATCAGCAAACTTGCTGAGAAGGCACTGTGTCCCCTCATCCAAGTCAAGTTCCTGGTGGATCTGTTCTTGTAAACAACATTCTCATAAATATGAATATATTCTGACTACTTCCTGGCAGTAACGTACAAGAGATGACCACAGAGTTCTTCACAGAGCCTTAGCTCTAGCCTGTATTAAGGTCTTGGGTGAGACAGAAACAAATTTGAAAGAGACGATGTGTGCCAGAAAAAATAATCCCATGTGCTGTGTGGGCTCTGAATGTTTACATGCATGTTTAATTATACAGGTTGTCATATAACTTGTCTAACTCAGAACTATAACATTCATAAATAAAATCATGAACTTTAATGACATTTACAGCAAATGCCTGTCAGTTCTCATGCTGTCTTCAGTACATGTCTTCAATCCAGTGCTGGACTCATCGTGCTGGTGGTGGTGCAGTTACAGTATGCCAAATTTGTCTTGAAGTTCAGCTTAATTCTATTTTGACACAGTTTCTATCAGTCATACATTAAAAAAAAACTAACCCAAAACACACGTCTTTGATGGTATGGCATTGTTAATTCAGTTATTAAAAGTGATAAGAGCAATAAAAAAGTTGAAGACGTGCATTAATGGATTCTTTAAGACAGCTCATGACAACTGCTGTGTTACTGAGAGGCTGCTGACCAAACTTTAGGCATAGGCGTGTGACAATGCATGAGATTCGTGTTGTAAATTTTGATGGTGCACACATTGGCAAAAATCCACGTAGTGGAAAAGCTCATTCATGCAATCTAGTTTTTGTCATAGATGACATTATCTTTTTTTTTCCAGCTGAAAGTAATTAGATCTCAAAGTCTTCTGCCTAGTTTCATTTAACTATTAATATTACTGAGTGAATTAAACTTCCAGTTCATTTCTATATGTATAGCAGTTAGTATGAAAGTAGTATCTCTGCCATAAAGAGATCGACAGGCTTAAAAAAACAGAAGTACTTTTATTGCAGTGCTTAGTATTCCTGCCAGTAAGCAGCTCTGCCAGGAGTCTGGTCTAAACCAAATTAGTGTTTAGGAAATGTAGTACTATTTTAGTGCTTCACTGAGACCCAGAGAGTTCTGTGGCTATGTTGGTAGGACACACTGTACTTTGGTTACAGGGATGTATTTTCTAATATACTTGTTTTTCATACAGTTAGGTAGATTATGCTGTTTTCTGGACTGAATTACTTTGTGTAGAAGTTTGGGGATTTCCACTTGTGATTAACTTTTCACTACATAATAATATTAGAGACTGAACTGTTGTAACTGTGACAGTAAACCAGACCTGTTATGAAACCAAGGCTGAAGGCCAAGTGCTTCTCATCTCTAGAGACAGTGCAATTTTAGATTAGCAGTGTACATCATGTTACTCTTAGTGCTTTTATACAATGGTTCCAAGTCGTTCAAGAGTGGTCAGGATCTCTTTCAGTAATTTTACTGCTTTAATTCTGGCTGTGGGGTCTCTCATTCACACTTGCACACACCTGCAGTTCTTGCCTGTAAATGACAAATCAATGACCTATTTGCATTCTCAACATCCTGTTGCCATTTTGCAGTCAAATAAATTGGACTGCTCATCTTAAAAATCAAGGAGTGTCTCTTACCTCTAGTTATGTGTCTTATTTTTCTCTAAAGGCTCACCACGGTTATCAGTGAGAAACAATAAATTAGTATCATGTGAAGGAGTTACTAAGTATCTGTAGAACAAAAAGAATAGTATTTAACAGTTACAATTTGGCATTTGTTTTTACACAAATTGGTTTCATGTGAGACTATATGTGTTTAAGAAAAACTGAGCATGAATGTGAGGGGAATCAGAAAAGAATTAGAAAATGCTAATGTCATTTTTTGTCAAAATTCTACACATAATTTGTACACACACGCACGTGTATTCAGTGGATGGCAGCATAAAAAGGGTGAAGGTAAAGAAAAATGAATAATAATTGCTAATCAGCATTATTCCTTTATCATTCTGTGGTGATGATGGTGATGGTATGAATTGCTGAGACAGTATGAAACACTAAACATACTGCTTTTATAGTTTTTCTAACACTAATTTGTCACATTTTAGATTATGAGAGACAGTGATCTCTTCTGTCAGTGCGATCCAGTCCTTCAGAGATGTAGCTGCAGATCCATACTGCCTTGCTGACAGAATGGAGCAGTGTATGCAGGCTGTGAGAGGCAGGGGCCACAGTTCTCACTGCCGGCTTCTGTGGTTGCAGGAGTGCTGGTTTGCAGGGCTTGGGAGAGGTGCAAGTCAGAGCATCACTGGCTGTGAGGTGACACTGAAAGAAGTTCTTTTTGCTGGGATTTAGTTGCTTCCTTGGTAAAAGGATGTGATGGGAAAGAACAACTGTCCTGGTCAAGAATTTCTGTACTAAATGAGACAGAGGTGCTCATGATTGTAGCAGTTTATAATGGCTTCTGGCTTTGCATACATGGTAAATATTTCTAACGTTGTCTCCTCATTTAGACTTGGTGTCTGCATACTCAGGTATTGTCACTTGAGTGTTTCCCTTACCTTAACACATTTGCTGTGTGACTGCAAGTTATCATTCACACTGTAATCTGCATCTGTTGTAGCTTCTTCAATCCTGAAGAGAGAGAAGCGGAAGAGAACAAAAAATGTCCATTTTAACTGTGTTACTGTGTATTACTTCACGAGAAGGCAAGGCTTCACCAGTGTTCCCAGCCAAGGGGGAAGCACACTGGGAATGTCGACTCGCCACAACAGTGTGCGCCAATACACACTCGGAGAGTTTGCCATGGAACAAGAGAGGCTTCACCGAGAGATGTTGAGAGAGCATCTAAGGGAGGAAAAGCTCAATTCTCTAAAGTTAAAGGTAAAAAATGTTTAAGACTCTGATACCTGCCTTATTTATTTAAATGAGCAGTGTCAGAGCTGTATGGACCCAATGTGTGTTAAAAAAAACGTTTCCTTTCTATGAACTCCATTTTCAATTGAAACAGGTGATTTTATTATATGTGTGTTTGTTTGATAATACCAAGTGCTGTCGTAGCTGTCATTGATGTGTACCTCCAAGTGCTTTACAGGCAGGTTCTTGTTTACTCCCTGTTTTCTACAGAGAGGAAAACAAAAGCAGAGAGTGGAAGTTAGCCTTGGACAGGGTGTCCAGCAGAAGTCTGGAACTGCCAGGAAGAGCATGAGTCTTCTGAGTCCCGTGCAGAGGCCCTATGAGATAAGGGAATAGGAACATCCTAAGTACAGAAAGCAAACGAGCTGTTTGCGTGGCCAACTTGAGCAAATTTGGCAAAAATGTTAATGCTAAAATGTTTTCTTGATGACTGTGTGTCTTTAATATTTTACCAAATAATGTGTTAAAGAAGAAATGTGTCAGACAAATTAATCAGCTGTATCAGCCATGTTAGCTAGTCAGAAGAAATCTTGGCTACAGTTTCCACAGAATCTTGGAATCATTGAGGTTGGAAGGGAGCTCTGGAGAGCACCTAGTCCAACCACCCTGCCAAGGCAGGGTCACCTGGTCTCCTAATTGTTTGCCATTTTTGGGTTTTTTGAACATCTAAATAGATTCTAAATAGTTAAATAGGTTCTAAATTCATAAAATTTGAACTGTTGAAAAGAAACATAAAACCCTTCAGGCAAATTGAAGACAGATATTTGGACAGACTGGAAACCAGAGGCTAGAGTGTTACTGATTGAGCACTAGATAGAGGTTACACCTCTAAACATCTCACATCACAGGATCTTCAGAGCCTCAAGTTTGCAATGAGTTGTGTGAGTGTAACTGATGACTATCTGTAGATCCCTCGGCCGACTTCCAGGAATCAGCTCAAAGAAAGGAATCCCTAGTGGAGTTAGTAAAGAATAGTCAAGCATGCAAGTATTTAACTTTTTCTTTTCTTTGCTAGAACATATATCAAGAAAACTAACAGATGCTACTTATCTTTCAAGATTGGATGTGGCCTTTTAGCCGCTGTGTGGAGTAGAGTTTGGGTTTTTGTCTCTTTGTAACCCTCCTTTTGGCTGGGATGGATCTCCTTTCTTCAGTAACATTTCATTTCAGCCCCCTCTTTTTTTGGGAATATAGACTATTTTCTGCTTGTGTACCAAATACAACATGTTCTTCCAGCTTCCCAGTTGCTTGTTTGAGTGGATGGTAATCTTTATTGATCTGTTCCTGCAAAATCTCTTCATATTGCATTCCTGATTTGCATCTTACCAGCGTTAAATCTTGTACTAGAGTAAAACATTTCTGTTCACACTGGCGTATGTATAGAAACAGAGGCAACAGAAGACTTCCTTTTTGAACTAGTCCATTAATCTCAGTTTAGTTGAATCCCTCACTATGCACTTGATATTAAAGAAAATTAAAAAAATTCAAACATACAAAGCAAATCCAGGGCTTGTTGAATTAGTGAAGAGTCACTGTAAAGCACTGAGCATGTTTATTTGCCTAAGACAACAGGGCTTTGCTGATTTTCCATTACAGAGATGGAAGAGCTGCTTGGTCATTCGTGTGGTTTCTGAATGATCATAAAACCCAAATGCTGTGGGATTCTAGAGTGACAATGTCAGCAATTAGAGTCTTTAACGAAAATGTGCTAATCAGGATTTGCATCAAAATCACCATCCGTCACAGAAAAATGAGGAAAATGAGAAAATGGGGTAGAGCAAAGTTTGCCTAAAAGGGTTTTTCTATTTGAAAACCATTGTGCAAACAGAAAGTAACATTATCAGTCTGGATTTTAATTTCAGTTTCCCTGGGATTTTTTTATTTCTTGCATTGTACTAAAAAACAGGAGTCAGTAGGTAGGAAGTGTTCTCTCTTGCAGAATTTGTTTTAAAAAGACAGAAATATAGGAATATATTGAAATTGAGGTTCTATGATACTAGGTACTGTTTATTATTTTACTTGCTAAAAGTGAAAGGTCAAATAAGAAACATCTCTAATTAAAAGCAGATAAAGAGTGTGAAATAATTTTCAAGTCCCTTTAGCCATTTAGCACCAGCACTTTGGTGTAGTCACTGCTGACAGTGGCATAAACACTTGTTAGCAGCAGAGTGTGAAAATTCCAGTGGCAATCTGGATGTAAAAGCCATCCTGTCAAATGAAGAGTACAGGGTGGTCATTTCAGAAGAACGAGTAAGCACAATAAATTAGCTGGAATAGTTCTTACTGCTTATTCATAAGGTCTCCTCAAATTAAAGTTTATTAAAATGATTAGCATGAGGGTAGTGATGTTGAGGCTTCCAGATCTGTGGACAGAGTTGGTTTCCTTTGTGGGAAATTGTAAGGAATAATTTCCGCCCAGAACAGGCAAAGGTGTCCATCCTAGATTTTTCATGTTTTACTGAGTTTGAGTGAATGTCATCCCAAAGGCTTCACATATTCTTTGGCTCTTCCCTTGTTCTGTGGTTATAACATCAACTTTTAGCTTTACAAGAGAAATTTACCCATCTATGTATCAAGTTTAATTCAGATGAGCAGTACTATGACAGTCAAGAGAACTTACTGTTCCCCTGAAGTTTTGTGTTGGAAAACGTAGTTGATGGTTCTTGATAATCTTGCTCCTTCTGTAGTCACCCAGTTTCTTGTTTGAGAAATGTTAGAATCTGTCATTTCATTAATTAATTTGTTCCTTGTGTGGCAAAACTGAGGGGAAAAAAACCCAGATGAGACAACAAGGAAATCATCCAGAAAAGTAGTCAGGAGCTAAGGTGCTTTGAAATGGCAAACTGCTGTCTGATCCCACTGGATACCCATGCATTTGATGTTCCAGCCTGCTGCATGCATGGAGTACTCAGCACGTGTCTGGAGTCCATTCCTTAATGCTCTACTGCTGTGTAGCAAAACAGTTGAGATTTGCAGGAGGAGGAGAAATACATGCAGGATTGCTATGGTTCTGTAGGTGTAGTGAAATAATTACAGGAGCAAGGATTAGCATTCTTCCCCTTCAAGTTTCAAACTTAAATAACAGTGATCTGCATGAGGAGTGGTTTGAGCCTTGTGTGTATAAAACTAGCAAAGCCAGATTTCTTAGGCAGGCCATTCTCCTATTATATATATATAAAAGAAAGAAAGCAAAACCCCTTAGATACATTGTGCTTAGTTCTACCTAGCTGACATAAAATAAAAAGTCTAAAGAAAGCGAAGGGTGTCACTCTGGATTGGAATATTCAGGTTGAGTTGTGTGTATGATGGAGTGTTCCCTCCCCGTAGCTTTAGGCAGCTAATTCAAGATGCATTTAATCACTGTGTGGATTTACCCCTCTCAGTAGAATGTAGAGAAAAAAGGATGACTTCTAATGTTGCCTTTCCTACCTTACTGAACTAGTACCTGAAATACGTTCGTTGTCCCAGGGCCAGGCAGAACTGACTAGGGAGCTATTTCCCCTCTCTTCCCCCACAGTGTAACGTGAACTGTGTCACAGAAGACAGAGAAAGCAATCTGAAGGAAGCTTGAGAGGACATTTTGAAAATGCCTGTATTTGAGAGGAAGGAAGAGGTAGAACTATTATGCACATAAAGGGATTCAAATGTTGTAGGGATAACAGACATGGCAAACTGAAACAAGAAATAAAATGAAGGCACTAAACTCTAAAGGCTGCACTTAGGTGAAAAGATTGAGAATACATTGAAAAGAGAAACAATAATGCTTACAAAGAGGCTGTGGAATTGGCAGAACATCTCTGCACAAACTCAATGCAGTGCTGAATTGCTAAGAAGGGATGATTGCTGATCTCAGGAGAAGTTTTCTTTGTGAGTGTAATGTGTACACATGAACTGTATGTAACTCTGTGTGTGTACAGCAGTCATGACCCTGAGACTCTTCTCCTTCAAAGGGCATGGTATTGCTTTTAACCTGACTTTACAAGTCAGGAATAATTAGGTAGAATTTTTTTCCCTGTGATTGTCTTACACAGTTGCTACAAGCACAAAACTGCAACTGCCAAAAGAAGAAGTAGTCAGTAGCTGACTGCAAAGTTATTCAGTAATTCCATAAATGACAGTTACAGTGCAAAATACTTTGGAAAGGACAAACTGTTAATATAAATTTGTTTAAAACTGGTGCCTAGATATTTATTTGGGATAACAGGCCAAGGTGAAATTTTTTGCAAATAAATAAGGCAAAACCAAGAAAGAATTTTAATGTCTATTTTTCTACAGGTAAGAAACATTCAAATGACATTCACTGAGGGCCATATTCCTGAGGTCGTGGTGATGCCCATGATGAAACTGTTAATGCAAATGGACCTGAGACTTCACCAGGATATAAATATCACATGGTTGCACCATGTTTTCCTCACAGAAGTATGAGATAGGTGCTTGACTAGTGTAAAGCAGCAACCTCATCAGCTGAGAACATTCCATAGAGCAGGGTGAACATAGTGAATTTTTTTCCCATTTTAAGCAAAAATATTTCATAGAACAATAATAAATTATTTGACAGAATAAATCGTGTAACTTCAGTTGGTTCACATTTGGTATGTAGAATGATGCTCAATCTGAGTAACTTGGGGTTGAGAAAATACATTTTTTGTAGTGAATGTCACTGTCTCTCTGAACTTTGTTTTAATGTCTGATATTGTTTTGGTTCTCAAGCAATTTTCCCCGTAGAAGAACTTTTATAAACCCTGTGTAGTTGTGTTATCTGGCAGATATAACCACTGAGCTCTACCTTATTTCAGAGCAGTAATTTTTGAACTGTTTTTTCTCCTTGAATGTATTCACCCCTTTCTATACGAGATGAGTTACAGCAATGTGGTACATAAGTGTGCAGTGCTTTCAATGTGGCACTGGATATTTATGCTTAATGCTCATGGTCATTGAATTTTGAAACAATTTTTTACAGGTTTGAGAGCCAGACTGTATCTGGGTAAGTTCCAGGATACTTCTTTCTATGGAGGTTCAAAAATTCATATTCCTAGAAAAGCGCATGAATCCTCTTAAAACTTCTCTCAAGATCCTTCACAAGAGGTTAACAGCTTATTTCCTTTTGTTATAGATGTATTAATTCATTAGCTGCCTAAGAATAATCTGGAGTGGTTAGTGAAGTACAGTACAAAGCTAAATGGGTTCTTTTCAGGACCATAGAGGACTAGAAGGAACTTCCGAAGAGTTATGCATCAGTGCTGTGGAACACAGTGCAAATAAACATGGAGTCAAAGAATCATACACCATTTTACAAATCTGTTATGCATCATAATCCAGACCCATGTCAGTAGTATAATCACTATCTCAAAAGGGAAATTTAAGCATTTCAAAGAGCCCAGAGACAGGAATCAATGTATCAAAAATTACCTTGTGAAACAATATAGAAAGGACTAGAATTTCAGAGAGGCATGAGATCTGGCAGCCAGTGACAAATGGTAAATTAAGGTAAACAAAGGAAAGATAAGAAACCAGAAACTTAGGAAGAAAATCAAATTACAAACATAGTACTAAAAATGTATCCTTAATTCCTATGCCGAATGTGAAAGAAATGCCTTGTCACCCTGTGTGTGGTTGTACTCTGAAACTCACCGACAGCCATGCAGCGTCTTCACACACAGCTTGCCACACTCATAATGCATCGCACGTATTCGCATCGATGGCAGATATGTGTGTGAGTACAGTGTAAGGACTTTGTTAATTGTTCCATAAAACAGATGACGAAGAACGGTACGGTGGAATCTGAAGAAGCTAATACGCTGACACTGGATGACATTTCTGATGATGATATTGACCTAGACAACACCGAAGTAGATGAGTACTTCTTTCTACAACCTCTGCCAACGAAAAAACGAAGGGCATTGCTCAGAGCCTCTGGAGTGAAGAAGATCGATGTGGAAGAAAAGCACGAGCTGCGAGCGATCCGCCTGTCCCGAGAGGATTGTGGCTGTGACTGCCGTGTGTTCTGTGACCCGGAAACTTGCACTTGCAGCCTTGCAGGCATAAAATGTCAGGTGAGTGCCAACATTATTGTCATTATTTAATTATCTGGGGGAGGGGGTTGTGTGCACGCACATGTGTGTACTTTTTGTTGTGGAAGTTGTAAGTATTGGAAATTAAGTATTAGACAGTAACACTTGTGGATCTCAAACCAGCTTTTAAGGCCCTGATTGAAGAGTATATAGTGGGCAATCAATACAAATGATCTCCTAAAGTATCTTTATTTGGTTTATGATTGGTTTAGGCAATAAATGGTTTAGGGTGGTTTTGTGTTCTTACACAAGTATTCTGCTCCTGATACTCCTCTTTGGCCTTTATCTGAATGGGCAAATGCAGACAACAGAAAGAATCAGTGGCCTGCAGAGTATAGAAGGAATATTACATTTTATTTTAGAGACAACATGTACTCCAGATGTGAATTATATAGTTCAAACTCAATGAGAAACAATAAATGACAGTCTGTGGTCTGATACTTAAAATCCATGCATGATAAATTTGCATGTAGGCAATAAAAAAATGTGTCTGCTAATACAGCAGGTAAGTGTTTCCTCTGCAGACTGAAGAGATATTTTATATTGTACATTTACATAGTGTCAGCTGTACCTGTCCCAAAATGTTCCCCAAAAGATGTTTTTACTAGTTCTGCTGAGCTGAGTTTTCTTCCTGAATGCATTTTTCATCATCTCGTAAATCCAAGCTAAACTTTCTCTGCTATTTTAAATAATATATTCTCTTTGCTGTTCCTGTTTTCATCTCCACATGTGGGGAAGATGTACTAGGTTGTGCTGTATGTTTCTCTTCTGCATCATATTTGATGTTTAGGTATTACAGTGTAGGTGAAAGTCGTAGACCTTAAGCTGTCTAATTAAACTGGCCAACATGTGGATTTGTCACATGTTTAAAAATTTGAGCATGTAGAAGTTCTGTGCACAGTCTGTTGAACTTCCAATATTGCATCTACAGTTGACTGGAGTACCTTTTAAAATGTTTTATTCCTATTTCCTGTGGTCAGGTGTTCCCATTGGCAACTTCATGATGGTTTCCATATATAACTCATTTTGTTTCAGTAGGTGTCTAGTTTCCATGATCAAATTTTAAGATGCTTCCTGGTAATGCTTTTGCCTGGATTTGAGCACAACGTGAAGCAAAACTGTAGCAGGTCCATAAACAGCAAAACTACTTGTTCCACTGTGTAATACTTTCACCTGTGGAACAGAAACATATTTTTCCTAGTCTGCAACAGTGGTGCACATATAGGTCCCTTACTGCTCCTCTCAGTACTGCTAATTTCCAGGGCTGACTCTCACTTATTGTTAGCTTGGAGTAGTGTTACAGGTATTTCTCACGGTGAATCCCACTTCACCATTGCATTTCTGTAGGCTCTCTAGGTTCTGTCATATCACCAGGCTTATGCTACATGTTGTTAATCTGTATTCTCTTTTTTAAAAGGTGGATCGTATGTCTTTTCCATGCGGTTGCACTAAGGAAGGGTGTAGCAATACAGCAGGTAGAATCGAATTTAACCCTATCCGTGTACGGACTCACTTTTTGCACACAATAATGAAACTTGAATTGGAGAAAAATAGAGAGCAGCAAGTTCCAGCACTCAATGGCTGCCACAGTGAGATAAGTGCACACACTAGTTCTATGAGCCCAGGACCCCATCCGGTTGAATATTCAATTGCAGAGAATTTTGAGATTGAAACCGAACCTCCGGCTGCGGTTATGCATTCTCAGTCAGCCGAGGACTTGGACTGCCCAGGGGAAGAGGAGGAAGAGGAAGATGGGAGTAGCTTTTGTAGTGGAGTTACAGATTCTAGCACACAGAGTTTAGCCCCTAGTGAATCAGATGATGATGAAGAGGAAGAGGAAGATGAGGAGGAAGATGAGGAGGAAGAAAAAGCAGATGATTTTGTAGAAAGCATGGGTTCCCATGCTGATATGGTGCCTCTTCCTTCTGTCCTTTGCTACTCTGATGGAACTGCTGTGCATGAAAACCACTCTAAAAATGCCTCATACTATACTAACTCTTCAACTCTGTATTACCAAATAGAGAACCACGTTGCTGGCACTGCTAACCAGATCGGTGAGACTTACTCAGAAAGGGATGCTGTCAAGAATGGTAGTCTTTCTCTGGTGCCTTACAACATGACTTCAGAACAGTTTGTTGACTACACACGGCAATCAGAGGAAACTTTTAGCAGCCCTCATTACCCTTCTGCAAACCCCTCAGTGATTGTTTGCTGCTCATCTTCTGAAGGGGATGGCAGTGCTCCATGTAACAGTTTATACACTGAGCATAGGCAAAGTCACCCTCAAGTGGAATTTCACTCATACTTGAAAGGTCCTTCTCAAGATGACTTTGTTTCAGCTTTGAATGGCGACAGTCGCGTACAAGAGCACCCTGCTGAGAATTCACTAAGCCTCCCAGAAAAGAGCAGACTGCACGAAGAGTGCATCAAATCACCAGTGGTAGAAACAGTACCTGTTTAATATTAAAATTATTCTAGGACTGACTTCCTGTATTAAAATTCACTCTCATTGGATTTTCCTAGAATCTTACTTTTTTAAGAGGTAGACAACAGTTGGACTACAGTCAATGTTCCAGATACGTTTTGTTTTCTCAAGCTACACTGGCAGTGGTATTGCACAAAACCAGTTCATGTAAAGATTTGAATTATCAAACCTTTTTTTGATAGAAATAAACCGTAAAAATGCACCCACCATATTTCAGAGTAGCCTACCTAGCGACGTGTGAAACCTGCCAAGATATCTCAATCAAAGCTTCGTGTTTCTGACTGTCGGGCCTGTGCAAGATTGTTAAAAATGGTACTTTGAAATAATCATGTTTAGAGTCCTCTAATTTTCAACATATCTGACAAGATGGTAAGTTTAATGTAAAAGTAACTACTGTACAAAAGAAGTTTTACTTGTTCTGTACTGTATGTATTTTATTTATGGTAGTTTAAGATTCATGTTTTGATAAATGAACAGCATGTTCATTCGCGCAGAAGATCCATAGCTAGTTACAAAGAGCATGTCCACTTTTCATCTGGAGTACCTTGGATTCTTCCTTATTTTCTTTAATACCATTTCTGGTAAATTGTCTTGAAATGCATTTTTGGAGTGTACTATTTTCTCTTTTACTATTCTTGACCAACAGAAGAGTCAGAAAGGGAGCATTTACATCTTCTAGAAAGGAGAATGGTAGACAATCCTCCATTAAAACTAAAATCAGTGGCATTCCAGAACTAGTACCCCCTCCCCAAAGAAAAATGATCTTGTATATTACAGCAAAGCAGTCGCTTAAGCTTGCACAGCACCTTTTAGCCCAACGACCGTTCAGATCCTTACGCACTTTAGTGCCATTTTGCAGTACTGTATTAACTGTGGGAACTGTGAACTACTTTGGAGAAATGCCATAGCTCCTGACTCTGAGGCAGATGTAAGAACTTTCATTATAACAAAAACTTCTATGGTTTTCCCAAGCCAGTTTATGAATATGTCAGTATGCAATTTATAAAAGCAGAGCCTTACTGATCAAAATCTCAATGAAGCCTGGAAGACAATGTGGAAGTGTCCAGATTGCCTAAATATTTAGCAGTTTTTATGAAATACGAGACTGGCTTTTATGGACATCTGATCGTATCAAATTTAGAGTCATTTGATCTAATTAGGAAGTAGTAGATTAAGTGAGGAAAATTAGCTTCAGAAATTTTGTATCTGCTGAAGTCTGCAAGCAAAATAGCATGTGCACCATATGGACATCCATTACCTTGTGATCCATTTGGTTTTAAATGAAATGGGAACTGAAGTACCTGCTGTATATCAACCTTTAATTTATTAACCAAACTTGCTTTTGTCTAGGAAAGGAGGCATAGGAACCAGCTTTTCTCTGCACTGGTAATTCTGCACTGCCTTATTTTGGGTTCAAAATCTATTTCAGCATTTTTTTCTTCTAATACTGTAATTTTATTTATTACACATCAAGTGAGTTGAAATGTAGACCTGTCTTGTTTGTCAAAATAAGGATCAGCATCTTAGTTTTTATCTGTGTCAAATCTAGATGGTTAACAGTGTGCATGTAAACACAGTGTAAATTTTAGCTCTGTAACAGTGACTCTTCTGGTTAGAAGCTCTTTCAAACATCATGTACAGTACTCCAGTAGAAAAACTGCCAATTGTAAAATACGCTTTTCAGAAAAGACAAAGCTAATCGTTTTTATATTAAATCTGGGCAAAGTGATTTCTCGTATTTATGCTAAATTAGCAAAATATTTTTACTCCATGTAGTAGCTGGAAAGGTTTTTTTATTTACTTGTTTCCACAAGAAGTCCTACATGTTTTATATGAACTGCATTGAAAAGTCTAGCTCTCTAGGGACTGGATTCCAGACTTGCACCATATTCCATCTCCTGGGAAGCGCAGTCATATCTGGCTCATAATTCCATAGCCTCTGTCCTCGTAGTCACAGAGCACTAGTGTCTCCCTAAGGCTGAGTAGCCAGGTAAGCGCCTGTGTTCTCCAATGCCACACTGCAAACACCCACCTGGATTTCTAAAGAGAAGCCTGCTGGTTCTGAAGGGGCTGCACCTAACGATATTACTCTGTTCAAGATGTTCTAAGAGCAAATATGACAAGTCTCTGTGTATGTAGGGATCTTGCATTAACAATGGGCTTAAATTTGGCACTCTCACGCCACACCAGCAGCAAAAGCACAAATCCCTTCTGCTTGAGCTGGGATAGTAGATGAGGATTAGTAGCAGCTCTTTAACCTCAGAGTGCATTGGAGAACCATGCACAATTTACCGGGGTATTTCTCTCAGGGCAAAGTTAAATGAAATATTTTGTTTTCTTATTCACCCCCTTACTGAGCAATAAGAAATTATTTTCTTGTCCCCTGTGCTTTCATGTGAAAAATATCTTTAATAATATCAGCAAGCACAGTTAAGGGATTAACTTTATAAAGTTAATCTAGCTAGCTTTAAAATACTGAGGTGATGGTTATTTACTGTTTCCATTGGCACAGGCTTCAGATCCCAGGCCTCCTTAATATTAGCATATGTATAAACCTCTGAGTACTTAGCTGTGTATGTTCCATGCTGTTGGGGCAAAATACAGCCAAATTCTCTAAAGCTTGCAGCACGGGATAACACGCAGTACCTTGTGATAGACAGAGCAGAGAGGGCAGTGACTAGGTGAAGAGTTTGTGCTATACTATTTTCCCGTGTTTAAAGTAGGTAATTCCTGGGAGTCAGAAACTAAAATGTGCAGAATAAAGATTCACATTTGAAAAGTATTCTTAATTAACTACATGGTGATAATGTAGATAGTAATACATTCATTTTGGTCCAATGTTTTGCTATCAAGATTTGATCTTGGGATACAAAGTAAATAAATCTGGTTTAGTTCTTAGAACAAGTTATAAAGTCAAGTCTGTTTATCATTCACGGAGTGGCTATACTAATAACAACCCTTCTAACAGATGAACTCATACTGAGGAAAAAAACCCAGAAACCTCTTTTTCAGTATAGGCTAAACCAGTTGCCCAGCCCATTCCATGCCAGCAATTAACAAAGCTAAGGCCTTTTCTAGCATGTGTAAGTTCACTAGAGTAAAAAAAATAAGTCATAGCCCTGACCAAAATAGGTAGGTTAAAATACCTGACAGGTTAATTAGGTTAACTTAGGTAGGTTAATATAACTGAAATCTAGAAGAGGATGTAGAAATCAGGTGAGAGTCAGGTTTCCCACCACTTGATTAGACCTTGATGTTTTGTGTAGAAGAAAAAACATACTCTTCATTTAAGGAAAAACAAATCGTGGGATAGTGAATATTGTAATGTTATTTTTCCTGGCTAATATAAAATAAGATGTGCTGTGTCATTTCCCAGCTGGTTAAGAGTCATGTTGATAACCAGCCCTTTAGTGCTGGGTAAGCTGTTTCAGTGTGATAAAAACATTATGTTACTAAATGATAACCAGCAGTATTTGCTTCTGTATCAACAGACCATATCATTTATGGAAATGTTTACTAATAGTTGTATCAGCTTTATTTCCCAAGATATCTGACTACTGATAAGCACTCCTAAGATGCCAGGTAATACATTTAATAAATTGGTGGATAGTTTATGATTACATTACATTGTTCAGAAAAGTGAGTCATAACAAAAGCATTTCCCTCTGTTAAAATAAGCCAGAATTTTCACAGCTCCTAAAACCAGATGCCTTCTTGCCTCTAAGGTGGACTTCACCTCTTTTGGAAAAAAGTGCA